GGAGGGGACTGGCCTCCGAAGCCACCCGTTTGTTCCCAATCCCAGACATGGTGGGACAGGACTGGAGGTGCCCCCTCTCCTGAAAAAAAAGAGAAAGCGTTTTTATATATAAAACAACAACAAGGTTTTCTTTCTATCTTGCTCCACAGGAAGGATTCCTAACTAGCTGCACAAATCAAAATTTGAAACAGTCTTCAAATTATTATTATTATTAGTAGTAGTAGTAGTAGTACCCTGCTCAGCTGACTGGGCTGCCTAGCCACTCTGCACAGCTTCCAACAAATATAAAAACATGATTATTAACTGCAAACATTAAAAAAACTTCCCTAAACAGGGCTGCCTTCAGGTGTCATCCTAAAAGTTGTGTAGTTCTGTATCTCCTTGACATCTGATGGGAGAGTCTTCCACAAGGTGGGTGCCACCACTGAGAAGGCCCCTCTGCATGGTTCCCTGTAACTTCACTTCTCGCAGTGAGGGAACCGCTGGAAAGCCGGACCTCAGTGTCCGGGCTGAATGATGGGTGGAAATATACAGTGGGCCGAAGCCATTTTAGGGCTTGAAAGTTCAGCACCAACACTTTGAATTGTGCTCGGAAATGTACTGGGAGCCAATGTAGCCTGCTGCATCCGAAGTTTTGCACTGAGGCCAATCTGCTTCAGAGTAAATGACAACATAAGTTTTTAAGTCTGTAAATTGAGCCTACAGATACTTGGTTCACTTAGTTCAATGGTGAGGACACCTGTGGGCCTCCAGATGTGGAAAGACACCATCTCCCATCACCCCCAGCCAGCACTGCTAACATTCAGAGATGACATGAGCTATAGTTTAACAACATCTGGAGGGCTGCAGGTTCCCTAACCTGGCTTTACTTCATTCTTTTGCCACTGCTTCTCTGCGGAAGCGAGACTTGCACTCTCCTAGGATCAGAGCTGTCTTTTTTTAAAAAGCACACTGGAATCCAGAAATGCAATTATCAAATCTTTAAACACACACCCAGTGCAGGCTGAATAAAGCAGGGAACTTTAGGGGCAATGGTAGCTCCGTAGCCTGCCCAGATGACCTCTACTCTGCCTGAAAACACAAACATAGAACGGGGAATAGAAATAGGGACATGGAAAGCAAGGGGACTGGAACAGATCCTGGCTGACGAAACAGAACTGCAGGATAGGGAACACAGTTCCACTCCCTGGACAGAAAAGTGCTTGAAAACATGGGTGCCTGATCATCAGAAGCAAAGGCTTTTATTAATAAGAATAATAATGATGATTAATATGCTACCCATCTCTGGGTAGACTCCCAACAAAATATTAAAAGCACAATAAAACATCCAGCACTGAAAACTTCCCTGAATTTCAGATGCCTTCTAAAAGTCAAATCGTCGTTCATCTGTTTGGCATCTGCTTGTTCGACAAAGCCTCAAAAACAAAAAACACCTAACCAAAGGCGATGCTTGGAAAATTTCCGTAAAATCTAGAAGAGTTTTCCAGATTTCACCCCCCCCCCCCAAAATAAAAGATTGAACAGTTGGCAGCCTCTACTCCCTTTCTTTATCTACCCCTTTTCTCCAAGCACATCCTGTGACAAGGTGTGCAGTGTTTCCCAAAAATAAAGCCGTGTTCCCTTTTGGCGGATGGGGGCAGTCTGCACATGCCTTGGGGCACCCTCTCCAGGGCACTGGGAAGTTTTGAAAGCCCAGAGTGGCCACGGTAGCACCCCAAATGGCAAGCACCCAGAGGCCCCTGGCTGAGCCTGCCAACCCAAAGCACTGTCACCCACTCCCAGGCTCTGTGGCTGCCAGCCAGAGCTGGAATGAAACCCACCC